GTACCGTGTGGGGCAGCTCTACACCATCAGCAAGCACAGCCACCAGGAGAGCGAGAAGGGCGAGGGCGTGGAGGTGGTGAAGAACGAGCCCCACGAGGACCCCGTCCACGGCCCTGGCCAGTTCACTGAGAAGCGTGTCCACCTCTCCAGGTGAGCCGGCGGCTCCGCCAAGGGGTGCTGGGTGGGCACTGTGAGCAGGGAGCCAATCTTCCCTACAAAATTCCTGAAGAACATCCTTTCTGAGTCCTGGACAGCCTGCAGTGTGGCTGCACACATCTCCCAGGGGTGCTGCCATCATCTCCCAGGGGTGCCCCCAAGTCCTAGAATGCACCCATCTTTGAGACCTGCACCCAACTTTGGGGGGTGCACCTAACTCCCAGGGTGTACCCATCTCCTGGGGTGCACTTCTCTTGGGGGGCTGCACTTGTCACCTGGGCTGTACCCATCTCCCAGGTATATACCACCTTCAGGGGCTGCACTCGTCCTTGGGGGTTATTGACCAGGGTGCACCCATCTTCATAGTAGTGCATCCAACTTCCTGGGGGCTATCTCCTACAGTGCACCCATCTTCCTTGGGGTGCACCCCTTCTCTGGTGGGCTGCACCCTTCTTCTGGGGCGCACCCATCTCAGGACATCCACCCCTCTCTGCTGGTCACCCATCTCAGGTACCAGTAGGTGCCTGGGTGAGGGGCTCCGCAATGCCCAGGCCCTGGAGGTGTCCCCATGTCCCCTGACACAGCCCCAGGTGCCCGTGGGGCTGGCCCCTGGCACTGCTGTCCTCATGTCCCCCCCAGTGCCTGCTCCTGACAGGGAGCCACTGGCGTGAGACAGGTTATTTTTAGCTGCCTCATTCACGATTTCCCTATCAGGGCAGGTACTTATAATGCCTGAAAATTAATCAAAACTCACCTCCTGGCTCCTCTGGGGGCCTGCTCCTGCCCAGGGTGCTGGGAGGGGGATGGGACCACCCTGGGCTCCTGGTCCTGAGGAGGTGGAGGGGTCCTGGGGAAGGAGTGACAGTCCAGGAAGAGGGGTGGGGGTCTCTTGGGGTGGGGACAAGGGGCTGGGGAGAGGGAGGTGGTTTTGGGGAGAGGATGGGGACATTGGGGAGGAGATGAGAGTCTTGGGGTGGAGATTGAGGGTCCTGGAGAGTTGGCATGGATCCCTGAGGGGGCCCTGGGGTGGAGGTGATGGTGCTGGGGAGGTGACAAGGGGTCTCTGAGGGGGGGTGCTGGGGTGGTGGTGACAGTCTTTGGGAGATGAAAGTGTCCTGAGGTGCAGATGTGGGTCCGGAGGAGGTGGTCGGTGTCCCTGGGGTGATGGGGTACAGCTGAGCATCCCTAGGGGGATCCTGAGGGGAGGTGAAGGTGCATGGGGGGGAGCTAGGGCAGAGTGAGGGTCCCGAGGAGGTAATGGGGGTCTCTGGGAAGGGTTTGGAGGTGCACATGAGGTCCTAGGGTGCAGGTGAGGGTCCCTGGGGGCCTGGGGTAGAGATGAGGGTCCTGGGGAGACGGCAGGGATCACTGGGAGTGTCCTGAGGTGCAGGTGGCGATCCTGGGGTACAGATGAGGGTCCTGGGGAGGTGGCAGGTGTTCCTGGGCAGTGATGGGGTGCAGGTGAGGGAATCCTGGGGTTGAGGTGAGGTTGCATGGGGAGGATCTGAGGTGGAGGTGGGTGTCCTGGGGAGGGGATGGGGGTCCCAGAGCCAGGCTGTGTTTGGTGGTGCGGGGCTGGGTGGCACCAGCCATGTCCTGCCCTGAGGGTCCTCTCCCCATGGTCCCCTGCAGCAAACTGCCGAGCTGGGCACGGGCAGTGACCCCCCGAATCTTCTACATCACTGAGAAGGCCTGGAACTACTACCCCTACACCATCACTGGTGAGCCCCGGGAACGGCATGGGGGTGGGCACTGCCAGGAACCCTGTCCCTCCCCGGCAGGGGCCATGGGCTGCCAGGAGCCTGGCCATGGCCTCTGCCCCTGGCCTCACTGCTCCCCCTCTCCCCCATGGTGCCACCCGGTCATGCCACCCCACAATGCTGATGTGCCACGGTGTCTCTGCAGAGTACACGGTAAGGAGGTGGCACGGGGGGACCTGACCCCTTCCCCAGCACCTGGCATGGCTGGGGACGGGGCACTGGGGTGGGCATCCCCCTTGGGGTGGGTCGTCCCTTGAGGATGGGTGTCCCTTAGGATTGGGTGTCCTTGGGACTGGGCATCTCTTGGGGCTGAGTGTCCCCTGGGGGTGGGAGTCCCTTGGGGCCGGGTGTCCCTGAGGTGGGTGTCCCTTGAGGTGAGTGTCTTTGGGGATGGGTGTCCCTGGGTCTGGAGATCCCTTGGGGTGGGTGTCACTTAGGATTGGGTGTTCCTGGGGTGCATGTCCTCGGGGATGGGCATCCCTTGAGGATGGTCATCCTTGGAGGCGGGTGTCCCTTGGGCTGGGTGTCCCTTGATCTGGATGTCCCTTGGGGCAGGGTGTCCTTTGGATGAGTGTCCCTCAGGATAGGTGTACTTGGGGATGGGCATCCCTTGGGTAGGTGTCCCTGGGAGTGGGTGTCCTTCAGAACAGGCATCCCTTGGGGACCAGCTGATAGCCACTCCCTGCAGTGCTCCTTCCTGCCCAAATTCTCCATCTACATCGAGACCAAGTACGAGGACAACTGCGGGGACAGTGAGAACGTGAGTGTGCACCACAGCTGAGCCCTGGCAAACTCATCACAGGGGCCACATGGTCCATGTCACTCACCTTCCCTCCCCTTCCCAGATCTTCCACAGTGACAAAATCCTGGGCGACCACGAGGTCTCTTTCCTGGACATTGCCTTCGACGAGATCCCTGAGCGCTACTACCGCAGCCTGGAGGTACCACGGTCGGGGACGAGGGGGCTCCCTGGGGCCACCCCTCTGTCCTGGGGGGCCTCATGGCCCTGCTCTGCCTGATCCCCCCAGGACCCCCGATTCTTCAGCTCAGCCAAGACGGGCCGGGGGCCGCTGCGGGAGGGCTGGCGCCAGCACACCAAGCCCATCATGTGCTCCTACAAACTGGTGAGCGTCAAGTTCGAGGTGTGGGGGCTGCAGACGCGGGTGGAGCAGTTTGTGCACAAGGTGAGGGGCATCCAAGCTGGGCTGGGCGGATGTTGTGGGGACAGTGACAGGGTGCTGACCCCCCTGGTGCGGTGCAGGTGATCCGGGACATCCTGCTGATCGGGCACCGGCAGGCGTTCGCCTGGGTGGACGAGTGGTGCGGTGAGTCTGGGGGGTCACCCTGGTGCTGATGGGGAGGGGGGCACACGGTCCCCGTGCTGGGAGGGGGCTGCAGGTCTAACTGCTGATGCCACTAACCCCATTGGCAGCTCCCACTCTTCCTCCAGCTCCCCTGCTGCCTGCACTGCCTGCTCTGCCTGCTCTGTTCCACTCCCCTTGCCCTCACCCCTGCCTGCACCCTGCATGCTGCCTGCTCTGCTGCACACCTGGGGGGGACAGGGAGAGGGGTCCCAGCCTGCTGCCTGCACTGCCTGCACCCCTCCCTGTCTGGCAGGAACACTCACTGCAGGCGCTGCCAAGCACAGACACAGGGATGGGAGCCCCGGGTTTGGTGACAGCCGGTGGCGGGTGCTGGCGGGAAGCAGGGCCGTCCTGGTGAGTGGCTCTCTGCCTTCCAGACATGTCCCTGGAAGAGGTCCGGGCCTTCGAGACTCAGATGCAAGTGGCCACAAACCAAAAGCTGGGGAGCCAGCACCCCTAACTCCCGCTGCCTGCCAGGGCCGGACACTCCAGACCCCGCCACGCTGCCTGCGGGCAGGTGCAGGCAGGGGAGCTTGTGCCCCCCCTGCACCCCACGGCAGAGGGTCCCCCCTCCTGGCTGCCCTCCCCACGTGTCCCCTGCCTGCGCTGCCTGTCCATCCCTTCCCCGCTGCTGGCTGGGCTGGTGCCGGAGCGGGTGGCTGGCTGCGCTGTCCGGCTTCCCCTTCCCTGCCTGTGCCCTTGTCCCCAGCCCGTCCCCCAGCTCGGCGGGGAGCCGAGGTGCAGGGCGCAGGCTGCCCCGGGATGAGGGGGTGCAGGACGCGGCCGTGCCGAGCGGCCCCAAGCCCGGCTGTGCTCAGCAGGGATGACGATGGAGGACGTGCGGCGCTACGAGCAGGAGACACAGGAGGCCACCAACGAGCTCATCGGCCTGGTGGCACCTACCATCTCGGTCAGCGAGGTGGGGCAGCCGACGGCCACGCACTCGGCCCCTGCCAGCGCCCCCTCCACCCCCCTCAGCGACGAGGCCCCCGAGTTCCTCGCTCCCCCCAAGACTCGCCCGCGGAAGAAGTCGGCGCCGGAGACCCTGACGCTGCCTGCGCTGCGGGAGCGCACTGGCGCCGAGTGATGCTGGCAGTGCCACACCGTGCTGGACTGTGCCAGCTCCACCGCCCACCACGGCCCCTCCGACAGGCACCGACCCCAGGGAGGGACCCGCCGTCGGGGCGCTGGGAGCCCCGGGGGGGTGCTGGCCTCCCTGAGCCATTGCGGGTGCCCAGGCAGGTCAGTGCCACCGCTGCCGTGCCACACCCGCTGGCTGCACCAGGAGAGGACACCAGGCCCGTGTGGGTCCCTGGCAGTGTCGGGCAGTGCTGCAGGAGCCGGTTCCTTCAGCCCCACCCACCCTGGTGTCTGCAGGGGCCATCGAGGCTGGAGAGCAGTGGGGAGGTGCCAACTGGTGCCCGCCGGCCGTGGCCAGGCTGGTAGGAAGTGCCAGGCTGGAGCAGTGCCCTGCAGGGTAGGCACCAATGCAAGAGCACAGTGCAGGTGACAGTGACAGGCGACAGGGCGCTGGGCTGGGGCTCCCCGCAGGACCCTGGGGGCTGCACAGCCCCGTGCACGGCTGGTCCCACAGTCGGGGTCCCCTTCACTGTCCCTCCAGAGGCTGTGGCTGCCTGGGAGGGGGCTGGGGTGGGCTCAGCCCCTCGTTTTGTTTGGGAAAACAACGGCCTTTTTGGAAATAAAGCTTGAGACACGGCGGCCGGTTGCTGGCAGGGGTTTATTTGGCGCTGTGGAGGGGTGCCATGCCTGTGCCAGGGTGCTGCGTTCCCCCAGGACTGGATGTGTGCAGTGAGGGATGGCTGGATCGCTGATCCTGGGATGGGGAGATGAGGTCCTGGGATGGGGCAGCGAGGGCTGGGGGGCAGCTGGGCAGGGCAGGTAGGACGGTGCTGACTGTGCGGGATCAGCCCAGCACGGGGGTGATGCCCCCACCCACAGCAGCAGCAGCACTGGGCTCCCCTCCCTGCCAGCCATCATCATCATCCTCCAGCCCCTCGGCCCCTGGCACAGCAGACGCCTCTGCTCCCAGCAGGGCAATGTAGTGGGAGCTGCAGTAGACAGGTGCCTTGTTGGGGCTGGAGTAGACCTGCTCGGGCCGCAGGGAGGCAAAGGGGTTGCTGGCGTAGCCCACGATGTGTGTCTCGAGCTCCACGAGGATCTGCAGGGAGGCCTTCAGCTCCTGCTCGCTGTGGGAGAGTGGAGGACAGGCCTGTCACCGGGCAGCTGTGCCGGTTCAGGGGCCGTGGGGCTGTGGGGCTGCGCTCACCTGTACACAGTGAAGAGCACGGGCAGGCCATAGTCCCGCAGCAGCAGCAGGGTGGGCAGCCACCCCGCCAGCAGGTCTGGGCAGGCGTGGAAACCTGTGGGGTCACAGCAGTGAGAGCTCCACCCCCTCCCATCCCACCCCGGCCCCACAGAAGGCAGAGGTGAACTCGAGGCTGCGCTGCCTCCAGGAGCTGAGGCAGGTGGAGGAGAGGTACATGGAGATCCTTGAGTCCATCTGCCAGGTGGGGACATGGTGGGACACTGGGGACATGGGAGACATCTGGGAACATGGGGAGACAGATGTGTGGAGCTGGGGAAAGCCATCTCCAACTGCACCCACTCCATGCTAGGGACCCCAGGGCACATGGTGGTACTGGTGATAATGTTTGGAAACCCTCAGCAAGGTGAGGTCTGGCTCCCCACCAGCACAGGGGGCACTCTGGGTCCTGCGCTGAGCACAGCACCAAGCACTGGCAGGGACCCCTCTGACCAGCAGGTGGGTGACACAGGCAGGACAATGAGTGCCTGGTAGGGGACGAGGCAGCCACATCCCAGGGGATCACTGCAGCTGCCCACTGTACCTCGCTGCAAAGCCCTGGGCATGTCCCAAGCCACCTGCAGGCTCAGCCCCGGGTGCTTCAGGGTGCTCAGGGTGGTTCCCGAGTCTCTATCCTGTGCCCTGCGGGGATGTCCTGCTCCCAGGTGTGAGGGTCCAGCCTCTTCACAGCACAGGCACTCACCTGGGTGAAATCCCACCACCAGGTCAGGACGGGCAGCCAGCTTGGTCTCCACGTGGCTTTCCCAGAAGTCGTGGTAGAGCCCCTTGTAGCTGCTGAGATAGACCCTTCCCCGGGGCGCTGGCGTGGCCAGGGGTGGCCTCATGATGGGTCCGTCCACCACGTCCACACCCACCATCACCATCTCCATGCCCTGGTGCCCTGGAAACATCCGTGTCAGCTCGTCGTAGTCCGTCGGCCGGGTATTGAGGGTCTCCACGTGGGAGGCCCCCACCACGTGCACGGTGAGGGGCTTGGCAAGGGGGTCGATGCCGAAAAGCCGCAGCCCCAGGCCGATGGTGAGCGGCCGTGAGTGGAAGTCGGTGACCAGGCGCCGGATGGACTGGCGCAGCTCCCCGTCCTCCGGCCGGGGCTTCCCAGCGTTAGCCCAGAGCAGGGTCATGTACCGCCCGGCCACGATGGCACCCAGCTTCTCCTCCAGCTGCTCCTGCATGGAGAACCAGTCCTCCCAGCCCTTCACATCCCGGGCGGGTTTTGTCCAGGTCTCCGTGGGGAAGGGGATGTCTCCTGGAGGTAGGGAGAAGGCTGGAGGGCGCAGTGGTGGCCCCACAGCTCAGGCTGCCCATCCCACCTGTGCTGTAGGAGTGCTAGAGGAGAGGGGCTGGGGGAGGGACCCTGCATCCCACCATGGGACCTCTGCAGCCCGGGATGGGGGTCAGGCAGGCTGGGGGGGATGTGTCCAACCTGTGAAGACGAGCCACTCCACCAACCGATCCAGGGCCACCAGCTTCAGCTTCTTGCAGAACTTCTTGTGCAGTGGCCAGTTGGCACGCTGGCATGCCACGCCACAGTAGTACACGTTTTGGCACCTGGGCAGACAAGCAGCAAGCCCAGCCATGGGGAAGGGGGCAGGATCTGTCCTGCTGAGCCTGGCTCACCCCCTCCCAGGGCTGTGTCACTGTTTTGGGGGTGCCCTCAGGTTGAAGGTGGGCGCTGGGGCCAGACACCCCTCACTGCACTCCAGCCACTGGGCTGGAAGCGAGGGATGGATCCATCCCTGTGCCATCAGACCATCCCTTCCATACCTCTTGCAACGTCGGAGGCTTTTGGGGTCAGGGAGGGCATCAGGGAGCTTCTTGCATTCAGCACAAAACTTGAAGGTGTCCTCCATCTTCTGGAACATGTCAAAGTAGGTCCGGATGCCGAAATCGCTGCCGCTCTTCCTCCCGTCCATGGCAGACCTGCACATGTTGGGGGGTGAGCAGGATCCAGCCCACTGCAACCACAGTGGGGCTGATGTCCTGCCTCCGAGCCTGCCAGGATTTTTATCTCCAGCCAGGAGTATCCTGGCCTGGGTGGGGATGGGGAGCTGGGATCCCTGGAGGGGTGCACCCAGGAGCCCATCAGAGCCCACATATGGGCTGGGCCGGGAGGGTGGGATGAGCCAGGAGAGACACACCAGCTGTAGGGGGACACATGGGATGGCCTGGCCGGGGCGGGGTGGGGAACGTGCACCCATGAGTGCTCACTCACTTGTAGTCCTCGTAGCTCTCCATGTTGAGCTTCTTTAGGATGACGTGGGACAGCCCCGGCACGTTGCGGTCCATGGCCTGGAAGCCCAGCGAGTCCACGTCCGGAGCCCTCGCCGCCCGCTCCTCCACGACCTTCTTGGGGCGGCCGGCTTTGGGGGCAGCGCCTGCTGGCTGGGCCGTGGGGGCTGCAGGGCAGAGGGGTGCGGGCGGCGGGGCTGGCTGGGGGGTCCCCGTGTGCTGCTGGGGTCCCCCCCGCCGCCCACCGCCCCCACGGCGCCTCCCGCCCGCCATCCCCTGCTCGTCCCGGGGGGCCACGGCGGTGCCGGGAGATTCCGGGAAGTCCAGACAGTCTGTGCCGCTGCCGGGCTCAAATGTCAGCCCCTAGGGGGAACGAGGCCCCTCCAGCGGGAATCGGATAGCGGAGCTATTCTGGGCATCCCCTCCCCGGGAACGGGCCAACCCGCTCCGGGGGTCCGGCTCCCGCCCCGAAAGCCGCGGTGGTGGCGGTGGGGTCCCCCAAGCCCCCCTAATGTGCCACACTGCACAACTGGGGGGATCTCGGGGGGCTGCCCAAGCCCCTGGGACCCCTTGTCACCATGGGGCCGTGGGGTCCCCACCCCAGCCTGGCCTGCGGGGACGCCCCTCTAACCCCCTCAGGGCCCCCAGTGGGGTGTGAGGGAGTGGCTGGGTGGGCACCACAGACTCCGCCAGGAGGGGTGAGGGGCCACAGTGGGGCTGGGGCAGCAGCTGGAGTGCTGCAGGGGCACCGTGACCCTCCCTGCAGCCTCGTGTGCCAGGACACACGGGTGGGCTCGGGGGGAGCCCGCCCACGAGGGGCGCGGGTAAGGGCAGCCCACACCCATCATGGCGGCGGCAGCGGCTTCACGGACACGCCCCACCACACGTGTGAAGAGCCGAGGTCTCGCGAGGTTTCGGGTCCTGCGGGAGCAGCCGCGTCGCTGTGGTTACGGGACGCGAGCCCTGCGCCGAGTCAGGGAGGCCGCGGGTTCGAGCCCCGCTCCGCCGGTGTGGGGCTGCAGGACCGCCCGGGCGGGAGGACCCCCAGGACCGTTGGTGAGGGGCTCCGGGCAGGTGCACCCTAAGGTGGGAGAGGCCCCAGAGCCGTGGGTGAGGGTCTGCAGGAGTTCCCCAGGACCCTTGGTCAGGGGCTGCACCATGGCGGGACAGCCCCCGGGGCCGTTGAGGCTGCGCTGAGGGGCTGCCCTGCCAGGCGCGGGCAACATCAGTGCCCCTGCCCTGGCTGCGGGAGCTGGGGGTGTGAGGCAGCGGGGCCGCGGGGTCCTCGGGGTGCTCTGAGTCTCTGGAGGGATTCCCAAACCCGAGGAGCAGATGGAGCCAGGTCCCCTGGGCATGTGGGAGCCGTGAGGAGATGGGGTTGGCAGCCACAGGCCTTTGGCCCAGGAGGTCATGATTAATTTAAACACGGAGTAAAAGAGCGCCCAGGGCTGTACGTGGCGCTCGGAGCTGAGAGCAGTCTGGCACAGCGAGTCCTTCCTGAGAGCTGCAGCTGGGTGAAGTTTACAGAGCCAGATAATTTTCACATTACATTTCTCTCTGTCCTCTCCCTGCGCCTCATGATTCGTCACTGCCAAAGCCCTCTGCTTTCAGTGGTGTTTTGAGAGCCGAGCCCTGAATAGCGCTCACAGCCACCACTGCTGTGTCCTGCAGAGGTATCTGGGAGAGGAATGGAGCAGTCTCATGTTTCTTGCCTCATTCTTTCTCCTGCAGAGCCATGGAGGTGCCTGCGGGGCTGGCTGGTGGGAGCGTGTCCTCTGCTGCAGCTCTTCCCAGCACGTCACAGCCAGCAGCAGTACAGATCACTGTCCTGAAGGCGCAGGACCTGGTAAAGTTCTTTGAAAATGTCTCTACTAATTTAATAAACGAGGCCAGAGAGATTCTGTGTGCTGGGATCCTGTTTGAGGCCAGGTGGGGGGTGATAAGGCTACAGAAGGGAGTGGTGGGAGTATCAGAGATTCAGGAATACCATACTGTGGGTTCCTCTCCCTGCTGAGGGTTTGTTCACACAGAGCAAAAGCCTGTGAGTCACATAAATTAGGGAATGCATCTCCTCAGCAGCAGTCCAGAAATGCTGGGATGAAATGTAACTCTCTGCCTCCTCTAACTGTATGTAAATGGCAGCTTTTTTTTAAGCAAAACACAGTGAAAATGTGTATCAGTGAGACAAATACCTCTGAAAAGATCTCAGCTTGGTTATGAAGTCAGATTTTCATCCCAGCTACAGCTGTTTAAACCATATTGAAAGCAACAGGGTGGCTCTGGGCTTAAAAAGGCTGTGGCTCCAGTGCCAGACTATGAGCTGGTGCCAATCAAACCATCACTGCTGTGCTTTCCATGTGAGGCACCCAGCTGTCCTTAAAGTCTCCTAGAGGAACTGGCATTTGAGAGGGAATGCAGAGGAGAAGCTCAAGCAGAAAAATGCAAATCCTTGCTTCTGCTCCAGCAGAAGAGAGCAAAAAACAACCCCAAAGCACCTGCCTGAGGCTGTTACATTGTAGTGTTGGAGCACCTCTCACACTGATAGACTCAGCAAACAGGTGAGAAGTATGAGGTGAGAGGAGGAAAAATAATGCTGGAAAGAATAAGCCTATGTATTGATTGCATTCAGAATGTTGCTTTGTGGTTCTGATTGCTCCATCCTGAGAAAGGGCTGTGGCAAAAGGAGGGGGGGTTACAAAAGGGCAATCACAACAACAACAATATGAAAAGAATTCCAGCTGTAAGAATGTGGAATCCACTTCCAGCTATAAGTGTGGAATCTGGTTAATTAGAGGTAGTGTAGAGAGAGATGAGAGAGGAGTCTTGGATAATTAATGGCACAGAGGAAGGTTAATTGGATTCTGTTTAGCCATTCATAGAATGCATGCTCAAGGAGACAGGGAGAGGGGCTGAAAATTAAAACCAAGTGAAAGAGATCTCTTTTTGTATAAGAGCCAACATGAAACTAATTACCCCAGTGACAGGGAGAGAGGGAGCTGAGGAAGAGGCTGTGGAGGTTGGGCATCCCTGTGGCTCAGCACTAAGGAAAAGTTGTTTGGGTACAATGGTCCTTGTATTCAGCCACTTCTCTGTGGATTGAGAACTAAACTGTGTTTCTCCTGCAGGGAGGCTCTTTGGTACTTGCTGCCCAGCACTCCCTCTCGCTGTAGAGGTGCCTGGTGCTGCCCAGGCATGCAGGTCCCCACTGCCACATGTTGTGCCCTCACCATCCCTCCTGTTTAAGCCCCTCCGTTTAGACATTTTAAATTCAAACTAGAATTTGAATCTGCTCATCCCTGCTTAAAGCAAGTGGTATGAAGGTGGTGTGACAACAAATTGCAGAGATCCCCAAAGAGCTTGCTGGAGCTGCTCTTTGATTTCATAGAATCATGGTATCATTAAGGTTGGAAAAGGCCTCTAGGACCATAGAGTCCAACCACTGCAAGGCCACCACTAAACCAAGTGCCACATCCACATGTATTTTGAACACTTCCAGGGATGGTGACTCCTCCACTGCCCTGGGCAGTGTCTTCCAGTGCCTGACCACCCTTACAGTGACGAAATTTTCCCTAATATTTAATCTAAACCTCCCTTGGCACAACTGGAGGCCGTTTCCTCTCATCCATTTCAGGGCATTCTGCAGTGACATGATATCACAAGCATCCCGTGAGCTCATCCCTGTAGCTCAGGAGCTACTTTCTTAGAGACAACAAACATCTCAAGCTTCTCGGAAGCACAAAAATATCAGTGGGGTATTTTGGGATTTGTTTTAGATGTGTCTTTCCTGGGGTGAAGCCTGGACCTCTCCATCTCCTATGCCAAGGCTCCTGATAATCTTTGGGGCATCACGGCATGGTGGAGCAGGAAATTTCCCTCTTAAAGGCAGGGAAGGGTGAGGTCCTAGCATGGCCAACATCTGCTGCTCTTGGTGGAACAGGCCCCCACCCGTGAGCCCTGTCCTGGGCACTGAACTGAGCTGCTGCCAGAGGAACTCGGCTCCCAGGCTGCTGCTGCAGAGGCAGGTGTTAATCTGCTCTTTTTTTGACAGAAAACTCTCAAAAGCGACGTGCTGGTCACATTGGTGCGTGTGGAGTACAACGGAGCAGTCCTGGGAGACTCCTCCAAGGCTGATGTCTTGCCAGACGGGACAGCAAACTACAATTTCACGACCAGCTTTGAGTGCAGTGCCGAGGGGCCCAACTCCTTGGATGTCATTGCGCAGAAACCGCTGCTCGGTAAGTCCCTGGTGGGTGCTGTTGGCTGCAGGAGTCCCTTGTTCAGGGATAGCACTTGAGCAGCAGCAGTGGGAGGATCTCAGCACTTGTGTTCCATCTCTGCCAGCTGGAAGAATCCCCTTCCATGTCGGCCTGTGCTCCTTTGGCTTCACTGTGCGTGTTGGCTTTGGGAGATGACAAGGAGCATGTGCCAGAGCTGACACAGACCCTTCCCAGCCCCCGAACTGCTGGTCTGAGGAACTCTGCCAGCTCCTCTCCTTTTATCTCCCTAGTGACTGTGGTAGAAGTGGGGCAAAAAGAGAAGAAAAAACAGGAGAAGACTGCGCCTCTTGGCCAAGCTGTGGTGGACCTTCTACCTCTGCTACAAGGTACAACATTGACTTCCACAGCCTCCATAACCACTTCTTGCTCCCTGGCACTTTTTTACCTTTGCTTATGGAACCTCGACTATAACCTACCTCCTTCTGACAAAGTGACCTTCATAGCTCTGCAAAATCTGGCTGGGGAGGAGAGGGGGTGGCATCAGTAACTCAGCATTAGGAGTTAGACCATGATTTTGTCTAGTGGAAGGGGTCTCTGCCCATGGCAGGGGATTGGAATGAGATGATCTTTAAGGTCCCTTCCAACCCAAACCATTCCGTGACTATGATTCTCTGCTGAAAGTCTCACTTTAGGCTGTTTGCGCTCCTGTTTCTTCCCAGGAGAGTGTTCATTGAAGGTCTCAGCTCCTTTGTATGCAGTGCCTGCCTCCCCATCAGAGAGCCCACGCCTGGAGGTCACGGTATGTGGAATTCGGAACTGTTCCTTCCCTCCTTCAGCTCTCTGCTGCTTTTTAATGGGAGGGAGAGCATGACTCAGCCACCTGGCTCATCACGGATATGGTGCAGCCCTATATGTTACAGGCTTGGAGGCCTTTCCTGCTCCCATTGACGTCTGTCCCTAGTTGCCTGTGATAGGTGAAGTCATGCTGGGAAATGTTAATGTGTGCAGCTACTGATTTGCTCTGGAAAAAAAACAGAGATGGAAATCACAGTGGTGAAAAACTCAAAAAATACAACACCTGGGTCACCTCTCCAGCTTTATTAGTTTTCCTTTCTGTGGTTAAATTATCTGAGTCCATTATTGTATGAGCTCTGGCTGCCTTTTCTGAAGGGTCCTTATTCATTCAGCTGGTTGCAAAGTACCCAGTGACTAAAATGAAGGGAATGAAGTATGAGACTGGGAAAGTGTGTCCAATTTTGCTGCTGAGCCTGCCTGCAGTGAGCACCAGGAGTGAATTGGAAGGGTGGATATCACATTAGCATCTCTGTGTTTAAGACGTTCACAGTGAGCAAGGTGGGGGGACACTCATTAGGGAGGCCAGGTAATAAATGCTGACCAGCTGGTTTTTCATTGCACACCATCCATCCAGGGCTGGGACAGGTAATTAAAGGCTGCACACAGAGTGTGGAGATAGGACAGAGGCAAAGCACGGCCTTCTGAATCACCAGGGGAAAAGCATCATTTTCCATCCTTGATGTTCCTTCTCTGTGGCTCCTTTTATGAGACCCTGCCTCATTCTCCATGGCTCATT